TACAGCGGTAACCAAGGAAACGCTGTATCACTGCTGCATGAGCGCCTCCTGCTGTCAGAGAGAGAATCTGCGTCTCATTCAGTGCTGCTGTGTTTACAGCGGTAACCAAGGAAACGCTGTATCACTGCTGCATGAGCGCCTCCTGCTGTCAGAGAGAGAATCTGCGTCTCATTCAGTGCTGCTGTGTTTACAGCGGTAACCAAGGAAACGCTGTATCACTGCTGCATGAGCGCCTCCTGCTGTCAGAGAGAGAATCTGCGTCTCATTCAGAGCTTCTGCTGTTTTGGTTTCATGCAGGTGTTTCATGTAGCATAACTTCACAAAGCTAGGGTCAGAACATTCTGTTTTTGCTTCAAATGTTTAAATTATACAGTCTAAATCAAACATTGCACATGTTACAAGTGTGTAAAATCTTTTTTTTTTTTTTTTTGGATTGATTCGTGATTAAAATGCAGTGGTTGCCTCTCATTTCCAATGGCTATGAAAAATCAAGACTGAAGAATATGCAATTTTATTTTAGATGTGATTATTCAATTTCTGTACCTGAACACCTACAAACATAAAAGCCTAAATCATCATTTCTTTTGCATTTTTGTTCTATATATTCAGTGGTGCTATTGCTTGTAATTTGTTCATTTGTTCTTATTTACTGACTGTTCACTTGTCTTTAATAATGTTTGAACTTTATATTTGTTAGGCTAGTAGTTTTTGCTGCGGTGCGGTATTTTTTTGTGGCAGGTCCAGTGAAAATGTTGGCAGGGCAAGTAAAAATTAGAACCACTGGCCCGACCGGGCAATTAGAAAAAATACTTAGCGTTGAACCCTGACAATATACAGCGCACTAAGGATTGATGAGCTGCTATGTTCATTAAAATTAATCACATTGTCTGCGTTCACTCGAACTGATTTGCTGAAATCAAAACAAGGACGTTAATAGATGATCGCCAGCCAATGAGATTGCCGCTTGCGCATTAGCTCCACCTACTACCAGAGAAACTGGCATATCTTCTGCTTGTTCTTAAACAGGAAAATACAACAAAGAATAAATTTAACAGCTATGATACTCTAAAACAAATTAGGTAAAGTCTACCTAATATTTCTCAGTACATTACACAAATAATTACCTATAAAAATTGAGTAATATTAACTCTATTGTTAGCAGGCAACAGTTCATCTACTAAATTATTATTAATAAACCAGTGTCTTCATGCATGTCAGAATATGCACTAAAAACAACATTCTTAAATGCTGTCTCATTTTGTCATTTCAAACAATAAGAAACTGATTTGATGTAATGTGTGACTACAATGATTGCAACACTTGAAATGAGGCTGTGGGATCAAGCATCACCAACACCTTCATTATTTGGTCTCCTCCTGTTAAAAAGAAAAACAAGAAGCACTTTTGTTTACATTAGTTTAAGCATGTTAGCATGCTGTTCACAAATGGCAGCTAATATATTTCCTAGAGAGCCGCTGTGCTGCAGAGTTCAGCTCCAACCCTAATCAAACACACCTGAACCAGCTCATCAATGTGTTCAGTATCACGAAGGCTATGGGCAGGGTTTTTTCAGGGTTGGAGCTAAACTCTGCAGGACAGTGGATCTCTAGCACCGAACTTTCCTACCCCTGGGCTTTAAGAAGTCAAATAAAAGGCAGCGTATTCTTCACTGTATGAGTTAAATACACAATGGGTGGGTTGCACCAATAAGGATTAAATTAAGCAAAGTTTACAACTAATGGATTTGTTGATCTAGGTTTCATTTTAAATTGAGTTGTGTTGCACCACTTAATTTTAAACACAGATTAACAAATCAGAGATAAGAGTTCTAACCTGTGATTAAACCCCCCTCTGCGATAAATTCATCCGTCCGCCATGAAGGATTCGCCATTGTAATTGAACAGCAACCATGTTAATGTTCTATATCCTTATTTACTGACTCCCAGAAACTCTCTCTGACATAACTAGCTCTTGTCGATAAAGGAAATACACTTGTAAAATATCAGGCGTCTTTATATACTGCTGCGTAGAGACCGTTAGAATAGGGCTGGGCGATATAGCTAAAAAATGTATGACGATATAGTAGGCTAATGTTTCATATCGTTTCATATCGAAAACATTGAGGCAGCATGTACAGATTTCAGAAGCCTGGTAATATATTTATATTATCAATTAATGGAGTAATATAGCACCATAGCTTATGACGAAACAACCAAGAACAGCTGGCACGATTCGCGGAGTCTGTTTGATCGTGGTCCAGCCGTGAGAAACGATCACTGGCCCCGCTGCCATTAAATGCTCAATATATTCCTCCCACCTTTTCTTCAGCCCCTTTCACACAGTAATACCAGTAAATTGCTATAAAATTACCAGAACGACTTTACCAGTAAATGCAAAAATGTGCTGTTCACACAGGCAACGACGTTTAGTCTTTTTACCGATAAAGCACTGTTCACACATCGGTTTCAAATTACCGGTAAATCCTGTGACGTCACTAACCGGAAATGAGCTCTAAACGGCTGCGGCTCCCGGTGTTGTGTTTGTAATCATGGAGGGGTGAATGTGGTCTGTGTTTTTGTTGATGTTTTCATTTTTGTGTGAAGCGTTCACATTCATGCAGCGCTTTTGGCCCACAGACATCGTATTAGACGAGTTCAAACCGAACTACACGGCGCGGAGGAAACGTGTCATCTGCGTCGGAATGTCATGATTGGCTCAGAGTCAACGTCTTACGTCAGTGCGATCTGAACTCATACATGCTCATACCGTAATCTCATTCTGCGTTCACACAGAGCACATTACCGTAACTTACTGGTAATGTTACAGCTTCTCATACTGGTAAATTGGCGGGATGAATTTACCGGTGTTTTTGAAACGGTCCTGTCCCCACATGATCTCTTACCAGTAATTTACCAGTAGAGTCTGTATGTGTGAGAGCTGCTGTCTGACACCGAGATGAGTGACGGATCCACCCTCACACCCTGCTCAATGCGCTTTTCTTTTCATTTGTGTTTGTCATAAACACCTCTCTGAGACCTGATGACACACCCACTGCTTCTGTCTTTGTTCACTCAGCCACTTATCATAATTGTAGGCACACTTTATTTCATTTAAACCTCCTCAACTGTAATCTTAAAGTTAATACCTAACTGAGATTTAATTATAATATTTGTATCGAGCACTTCATACACAGTGCTTTACACAAAAGGAATGAATCTGTTTAATATAAAGTGGGTTCGTGTTGTTGTCTGCTTTTGAAATGCAGTAAATGAGGTGACCTAATCTTTTCAAAAACAGCAATGACAGTGATTTCTAAAATGGCTCAAAAGCAGGTTTCTCTCTGCAGGACTCGCAGCAGCCGTCACCGTTAGCGCTGTTGGCTGCCACCTGCGGTCGGATTGATGAAGACGAAGCGGTAGATCAGCAGTCAGGGCCAAGCCAGACCCAGGACACTCAGATCTCCTTCCAGCAGCCCCATCTGTCCCACACCACCAACGGCTGGCACGTGACCCCCGCAGGAGCTCCGGTGTGCACCAGCTCCGGCTCCTCTCGCACCACAGCCTCGGAGCACAGCAGCAGACCGCCGGCCTCCATGGCACAGCAGCAGTACGTGATGGTGTCCTCACAGAACCCACAGAGTCAGCAGGTGCTCGCCACCCTCTCTGGGGTGATGCCTAGTATCCAGTATCAGGTGATCCCGCAGTTTCAGACTGTAGATGCACAGCAGCTGCAGTTCACTCAGGACGGGTCAGCCGCAGCAGCAGGGCAGTTTCAGCTGGTGTCCTCTGACAGCGGTAACCAGCAGCTCATCGCTGCTCCCACCAACCCAGCTGCTGGCAACATCTTAACCGTGCCGGGCCTTTTCCAGCAAGCAGTCCCTCTGCAGAACATCAGTCTGGGTGGGACAGTGCTGCCCAATCAGGCGCAGTTCCTCACCAATGTGCCACTGAATGCTAACCTCACCCTTCTCCCGGTGGGCTCTGCTGCCGCTGCTGGACCCGTGAGCGACGCAAGCGCCGGAGGAACCGTAGGAACTGCTCAGCAGCTGCTCCAGAGCACGGCGTGTACCACTGCAGCGGAGTACTGCACTACTACCAGCACACAGACGGCTGCTTCACAGAGTGGCCATGGAGAGACTGGAAAGCCCTTGCAGAACATGTCCGGAGCGTCTGATAATAGAGACGGACAGATGCAGTGTCAAGCTCAGATTCTCCTGCAGAACGTCCAGCCTGGCTCCGTCTCAGCCAGCGGTCAGGTGTTCTCCACACAGAGCCTGTCTCAGGACGGAGTGCAGAACCTTCAGATCCAGACCATCTCCAGCGGCAGCCCCATCCTGATCCGCACCGTCGGTCCGAACGGCCAGATCAGCTGGCAGACGCTTCAGCTGCAGAGTCCCGCTAGCACCCAGATCACGCCGGGAACCGTGCAGCTCGCGGGCCTGCAGACCATCAACCTGAACACGGTGGGAAACACAGGGCTGCAGGGAGTTCCCATCACCATCGCCAACACAGCAGGTGAGTCTGCTCTGATCTGCTGAAGCTGTGCTCCGCTCGTTTCAGGATAGCAGAGTGGGAAGAAATAGCTCTTACAAGCACAGCTACACATCTCTTAGCACTTAGTTGATGTTCTTTACGTCTGTGGCGGTCTGTTATAATGAAAAAGTGGCAAATGTGAGGCCAGCTGTGAAGTGTAGTCAGTACCTGAAAAATATTTTGCCAAAACAGCGAGGGGAAAAAAAACATTTCTGGTGTCAGCCGAAACAGTGATGTTTAATTTCATTTTGATAAACCAATATTGATTCTTAAATCCCAAGATCAGTCATTTAGTTTAGTTTAGTTTAGTTTAGTTTAGTTTAGTTTTTTTGCCTGATAAAGGCGATGGGACAGAATATTTCTGTTTGTCATTTCTGCATGCCTTCAGCATGCAATGAACTAATTTTTATATGTTTGCGAGTACAGATAGTGTGACTTGTTTTGTATATGCTATTATACCTTTGAAACAACAAATAATCTGTGCTTGTTCCCTCGGGTCCCTCGCTTTGGGCAGTTTTGTTAACTCTGGCTACTTTTCCAAGCTGCTTGAGTGTGTGATGGTCCAGCTGTTTGTTCTGCAGGAGATATGAGCGGTCTGGAGGAGAATGTGGAGAGCAGCCCGACAGCCGTCAGCAGACGCTCGCGCAGGGAAGCCTGCACCTGCCCCTACTGCAAACACGGAGAGGGACGGTACGCCTGCAACTACACTGCACTCACATTACTTCACACATTTGCGACTAAAAATAGATGTGTGCGATCTGGAAAATGTATTTAGGAGCATGAGTGTGAATAAACTGTAACAAAGCAGCAGACGTTACCCCGGCAACCCTGTAAACAAAGCAGCAGCCGTTACCCCGGCAACCCTGTAAACAGCGGTGCTACTTTGTTTCAAACAGTCATTTACATGTTTATATTCGCTTTAGTCCTCGGCGTAGCCCCAAATAATTCATACTTAAAGACTTAATAAGCTATTTATTTTCAAACTTACACTTTTTTAAATTTTAGTTTAATCTAACCTAAAACATGGCCTACCTATATATTGACTGATTCGTTATTATTGTTCGGTAACACTTAACAGGTTCCATTAATATTAGTTAACTACATTAGTTAACATTAAATAACAATGACTGCATTTGTTAATCTTAATGTTAATTTCAACTTAATAATACATTATAAAATCAAAAGTAAAACAGCCATATCACCCTGCAGCCCAAGACTGGTGGCCCACTGAAGCTAAGCAGGGTTGAGCTGGTCAGTAGCTGGATGAGAGACTCCTGGGAAAACTGTCTTGCTGCTGGAGGAGGTGTTAGTGAGGCCAGCAGGGGGTGCTCACCCTGTGGTCTGTGTGGGTCCTAACGCCCCAGTATAGTGATTGGGACACTATACTGTCAACAAGCACCGTCCTTCAGATGAGACGTTAAACTGAGGTCCTGACTCTCTGTGCTCATTCAAACCCCATGGCACTTCTGGTAAAGAGTAGAGGTGTAACCCCGGGGTCCTGGCCACATTCCCTCCACTGGCCCTTGTCTATCATGGCCTCCTAACAATCCCCATCCACTGGATTGGCTCTATCTCTCTCTCCTCTCCACCTGTAGCTGGTGAGCTGTGGCTGGATCTGCTGGTGTTTGAGGAGAGACCCCCACATGACTGAAGCGCTTTGGCTGTGCAGCAATACACAATAAAGCGCTATTTAAATGCATCATTCATTCATTCATTCATTCAAAAGTTGTGTCTGCTAATATTATTTAATGGAGCAAACATGAACTAACAATAAATAGTTGTATTTTTATTAGTGTTGGACAATGATTAATTGCATCCAAAATAAAAGGTTTTGTTTACATAATATACGCATACTTACTGTGTATATTTATGCGTATATGTAAATACACACACATACATGTATATATTTCAGTAAAATGTATTATGTTTATATATTAAATATATTTATAATATAAATCTATACATGTAAATATTTACAAAATATATACTGTATGTGTATTTATATATATACATAATAAATATACACAGTACACACTAGGGGTGGAACGGTCATGTGACACACAACAGCACTTATGTTTTATTTATTTTTTCCTTTTTAATTTATTACCACAGCCAAAACTAGTAGCATCATTTCAAACACTATTAAAGGCAAATCAACAGTCACAGATTACAATTATGATCAGCTTCACCCCTGATGTGTGAGGAGTCTCTGGCAGGTTATTTTCACTAGATAAGCCCTCGATGAGCAGCTGTAAAGCAGTCATCTGTCAGACAGACTGCAGTCTACCAGTCCAGTTCTCACTGCTTTGAATACTGTTCTCCGGTCATTCACTGCCTGGTCAACTGAGAGAAAGGCTGGATCATGGTTTTTCAGCAGAACTACAGCAGACCATGAGTGTATATTCACACTGCTGTTTGGCTTATCAAACGGGTGATCTTATCTAGTTCTGCCTGAATGCAGGATCAGTCCACAAAGATCGACTTTGGATTCAGCATGACACCATAAATCACCGGCGGAGTCTGGTTTCTCCCAAGGTTTAGTTTGGCTTAGTTGGTCTAGAAGACACTTCATCTTCAGAAAATATTAGCAGTCTAACTGCACAGACACTACTGATGAGAAGCAAACTGGAGCTGAGCTGAATAATGCCACTCGTGTCTGCTGTAGCGCTGCTTTCTAGCGGAGAGTGAAGTCATGTCATCACTGCGTCGTCCTGGTATTACTGTGAAGCTGCTGTCTTATAAGTGAATGAGGCTTGATTGTGCTTTATCCCTTACCTGCAGCTGAGCTCTACATGTGTTTCTCAATGTGTCGTCCTGTTACAGCAGTGACCCCAGTAAGAAGAAGCAGCACATCTGTCATCTTCCTGGCTGTGGGAAGGTGTATGGGAAGACGTCTCACCTGCGGGCACACCTGCGCTGGCACACGGGAGAGAGACCCTTCATGTGCTCCTGGTCCTTCTGCGGGAAACGCTTCACTCGTTCCGATGAGTTGCAGCGGCACAAGAGGACTCACACAGGTGAGCTTCACACGCTTACAGAGCTCACAGAGACTCGTGTATGTGTGTGTGTGTGTGTGTGTGTGTGTGTGTGTGTGTGTGTTTGTGTGTGTGTGTG